CTCCTTCTGCTTCCCCTGCGCATCTCAGCTGCCTGCCGTTCTCCTTCTGCTTCCCCTGCGCATCTCAGCTGCCTGCCCTTCTCCTTCTGCTTCCCATTACTGCATTGCTATCACCCAATCACACAATGAACTCTGTAGTCTTCACCCCCAATCGGTCTCTGAGGACAATTACTCTGCCATGCCCTTTTTCTTTCCATCTACGGGCCCGGCGTAACACAATGACACCTGGGGTTTGCAGCCTCATTCCAAGAAGACACGTTAGAAAATAAAAAAAAAAAACAGAAAACCAGGAAGGCCGCCGCTGACACTCTCTGTAATGAAGCTTTGGGATCACTTACTCTGATCAATGTGCACTGACAGAACTGGACAGTAGATGGCAGTGTTTGGACAGTGTAAACGGCGCCATGGGAAGAAACATGAGTGAAATGAGGTTGATGTCTTGCTCCTGTAAAAAATAACGTGCTTGTAACTTTTGAAATAGTTGTGTTGAATTTGCAGCAGCGCATCTTCTGATTTATGTTTCATATCTGCTCCGTTGCCCCCTGTCCATTCTCGTTTTTCACTCCTTTACAGAATTTCAAGACAGGATCATCAGCCAGTTGTCGTATTTTAATTATTTTTTATAAATAATTTCCACAGTCTAACAACGTATTCCAGTGGCTCCAGGTGGAACTGAAGGAAACTAAAAAGATTACTGGAATCATCACTCAAGGTGCCAAATCTTTAGGGAAAGAGATGTACGTCCAGACATATTCCCTCCAGTACAGCGATAACGGGAGCTCCTGGAAAATGTACTCGGACGATACCCAGGTGGCAGAAAAGGTACTCTTTCTCAGTGTGCACTTACTGTATGAAGAACAGCCGTTAATTTCGGCCATTTCCTTCAGGGTACTGTGTTCTTGCCTAAGAGATCACACGGTATCTGCAGTGCTTTTCATCAATATTGGACTGTAAGAATGCAATCCCAGTTAATGTATACCAAAGTCGTTAGGAAAATATAGTCCCATATTGATATTTCTAGTAACACAAGACGAGTAGAAATGAAGTCCAGATTAAATTTAGTCATGCTTATAAGCAGGAGGCATCAATGTTTTATGAGTGTTATTGTGTCAAATTTCTGAGGAAGTTCAGTCATTATGTTACCGGTTAACTGGATGTAGAGTAACTAAACAAGTAACATTTTTATTCATGTTTTTTGTTTCAGTAATTTTGCTTTGTGGGTTTTTTTTAGTGAGAAAATAAATGAAAACGTCTTTTCCGAATTAAGTGCAGAAAGGAATATCTCTTTTCCACTTTTAAAAGCCAGGCAGTTTGCATGGTTTCGCCTCACAGTTGCATGTTTTCTGTTTTCCTTTGCAGATTTTTATTGGAAACACGGACAACAATGGCCATGTAAAAAACTATATTTATCCTCCAATATTTGCAAGATTCATTCGAATTGTCCCTAAAACATGGAACAACAGTATCACCCTAAGAATGGAGCTGTTAGGATGTGACTTTGAGTGAGAAAACCGAGATGACTGTGCAGGTTATCCGAGATGTTAAATTTTACAGAAACGGAAGCTTCTCTTAATACCAGGAAAAAAATGTTACATTTTAATTTAAGTGTTCTAAATGTTTTTGCTCAAGTGTATCACAGGAAATGTGTCCTGTTTTATACTTTATAAAATGAACTTTAAGTAAGATTATGTAAAAAGAGAAATCTGGTGTAAAATATTTTATATAAAATGTTTATCAGTTTAATCATTGGCAGTGTGTGGTCAGCCTATTTGTTTTATTGCTGTTTTGATATACGACATTATTTGATTTTGACTGATTTGTAAATTAAAGTTAAACATACAGTATGAGCTAAACAAAGGGGGAAATTGATAAAGTTACTATGCAAAAAGGTTTTCCATTGTTTGTCCGGGTGTGTTTAAAATTGCCCAGCTCTTGCATACAGTAAGTGGAGACTGGAGGTGCCTCCTCTGTGTACCTTTCCTGTTCTCTCTTATTTTTCTACAGTGAGCTATGCATGAGTTTTTTCTACCCTTGTTCGCAAAAGCGAATCATCTCTTGGCAAAATAATGTGAAACGGACAACAAAGAATTTCTAAGAAATAATGCATTCTTTTTTTCCTTTCACACATTTTGAAACACATTGCCCAACACAGAGTGAATTTCATCATTTTCTGAATAGTTACTTACTGTAGATTAGGCAACTTGTGTGCACTCTGATCTTAGTAGGAGATACTTTGCCCCAATTTCTTCATTTTCTGGCTTTGATTCTACAGATAGTTTTTCCTGTCATGTTAATATCATGATGCTGAGATTGTTGCAAGCAATTATATTGCAGTAACAAACAGCAACAGTCAGCACTTCTAACTTATTTGAAATAATCACCTATAATTATTATTTCATTCTGAAAATACTGTTTCAGGAGACACCGAGCTTACATTTAGAAGGGCATTCTGGGGAAACAATGTCTGAAAGCAACACAAAAAGTATGGTTCTGTAAAAGACATTTCATTGTTCTGCATTCAGCTGGTTGCTCATGATTTATTGCAGATATTCATGTCCACTTTTGGGATTGTGGAGTGGAGTGTGACTAAATTTCACTCTGGTATTAGTGTTCATGTCCGTTGGGTTTGTTAATGACTAAGTAGTGAGGACCTGGGATTAACTTCTCATCCTACAGCCCAGTGCCTTCTTGTCCCCATGGTGAGGTACTAGTTTGGGAATTCTTTTTCCAGAGGGAAGAGCATACTGGTCCACAAACACTACAGTACTTGCAGCCACAACCTGGAATTCCTTGGTGGTCTCCCATCCCAGTACTGACCAGACCCAGCCTTGTTTAGCTCAGAGATCTGACAAACTCAGGACACAAGACAGTAATAATGCTGAGGGTAAAGGAATCAACCATCTAATACATTTTGGCTATAAGGTCACTCCAGTGCTCTGATAAGACCGTGCTACATAGTAGTATCACTGAAAAAAGCAACAGGCTAAATCACCTCATTGCCTGTGCCCAAACCACTCTCTCCCTACTGAAATATGATTTAGTGCTTATGTAACAGTCAAAGTAATGTCAGTCAGAATGAGAAGTCAATCAAAACAATGGTAAAAATGTGTAATGAACACCTAAAGTCCATGTACTTCATTTCCCTAAAATATTCATGAATAGATAAGCATGTGTAACTCACTAATGTGTAGCAGCAGAGTAAAAGATGGAACCATATCCAGTACAATAGTATTCATCCTATTTGATTCAGCTCCATTGACAACTATTAAGACCACAAGAAAGGTTACTTAATCTTTCTTGATTAAGATCTGAGATTAATCTTTCAGCATATCTACAGTAGCTCCCTTTGGTAGGAGGAAAGTACAGTAGCTCAGGTGAAAGTTGAGGTGTCCTGTAAAAACTACTTCTTTTATACGTAAACTTTTTATTACAGTATGTGGAGTATTGAATTATAACATCTTCATTTAGTGGTCTGTAACACTAACAACACCATATTGTACTGAATTAGAGACGACGACGACACCTGTCTCTCGCAGCTGTAAAACTGCTGCGTGATGTCAGGCAAAGGCGCCCCGAAGAACGTAACGACATGCAGATCTGCGGGTGTGTGCGCAACAAGAGAGTGACCAATGCCGTCATCCAGAAGCGGTTACGATAGCACACACACCCCCTGGGTGTGGAGAACTATTGGTGCTGTCATTTTCCGGCGCCAGGTTAGCTGGATCACACGCGTTGCAGCACAGGAAGGTCATACGGGTTTTGGAAATGTCTGAAACATGGCTTTACCCCACAATCCTGTTGTGTTTTTACGGATTTTTCTCAAGTCTGAGACCTTCAGAGCCTTTCCTGACAGCATTTCTAATGGGACCTGATAAAAACCTGACTGAGAAAGAGGTAGGTGGTGTAGGAATCTCGGGCGAATTAAAACACAAGACCTCGTGTGGAGGTAGTACCTTAAAGACGATGCCAAATTTAGGATTAAGAATACGTCTGCGAAGAAGTTAGCTATCTCAGAAAAAGGTCAGCCTTCACGGAGTATTTTTTTTTTATTTGGCAATATAGGAATTCTAATGACATTGGGGTTGAGGACAAGATTTAACAAACTTCGAAACCATTTTACACATCGTGGTTATTCACAGGGGTTAGAAGAAAAGGCTGTAGATCATGAATTGCAGATATAAGCTTCAGAAATGCACTGCATTACACTCTTCAGATGTATTGCGGAAATACACTTGAGCATTGCATCATGTTATTGTATAGTTGTCGGTCGAGGGTTGTATTGAGAGCGAAGAAACTATGACATTTCTTTAAAAGAGAGAGTTACTACCGAGATCCAAGAGCAGAATGTGATCTCATGATGTCCTTCATTATCCCGTTTGAGTAAGAGCAGTGATGCCCTGGTGTGTGTCTGCTTTATATTCCGGCTGTCTTCAAGCACATGTGCAAATTGGTACCTGTAACTGAGCTGCTTGCTGCTTTAGACTTAGTACCTTGGTTTAAAAAAAAAATCTTACTTAGAGTGCATTATTTTCAGCAATTTCACTCGACTGAACGTTACGTATATCTCCTCGGTTTGCTCAGTTAGGTGATTAACTGGGGATAAACCGACTATCAGATACTCCCTCAGTGTTTCATTGCTTTTTCTTTTTCTTCAGTCCAGTTGGGTATATTCAACTCGCACACCTGAATGTAGGCAATCCTGAAAATGTACTAAATAGCCAATGTTTTATACAAATTTCAAATCTTGTGCACTCTATTAATAGCTGAAAGCCGATGTAAAAAAAGGACCCCCGAATGGAAGATTGAAAAGAATTTAGCACTGGGGGGTTAAGGGCCCAGCTGGGACAGAAAACAGCAGACTCCTTCAGGGGTCCTTCAGGAGCAGGACTGAGCGACGAAGGCTCTAGATCATTAATGCCACATGGAATTTTAATAAGCTCAGTTCCTATGCCTTTGGCACCTGTGTGTTAATCCCTTTTGAGATTAAACCAGCCTTAATGACATTTCAGCGGCACTTGGGCAACTTTTGCTTTACTTTCAAATCCCTCTTAAACCGAAGTAGCAAAATATAAGACAGTCCTGGCACAGACTGGAAACAATATAAATATCTCCCTCTCTGATGGCTACGCCTGTGTGTCACTGTTTCCACTCCTAGCTGGTGGCTTTTTTTTGCCAAGTTTGTTTGCTTGTTGTCGTTTTCCGAGAAACGGCTGTATGAGATCCTGAGATCAATTAACTACGATCTGCCAAACAGGCTAAACGGGCTGAATGGCCTCTTGTCATTGACAAGCTCTCTCATGTTTGTCGGCTCGCCCCCTACTGGCTTGTTTTTATTTTGCAGGTAGTCAACAAGATTTACCCAGTATGGACCTACTCCTACCTGGTCCTGCTGTTCCCAGTCTTCCTGGCCACCGACTATCTTCGCTACAAGGCCGTGATCATCCTGCAGGGGGCCAGCTTCATCGTCACCTACGTGATGCTGGTCCAGGCCCAGGGCGTGCTGTGCATGCAGATCCTGGAGTTCTTCTACGGGCTCGCCACAGCAGCAGAGATCGCCTACTACTCTTACATCTACAGCGTGGTGGAGTCTGCGCGGTACCAGCAGGTGACCGGTTACTGCAGGAGCATCACGCTGGTGGGGTCTGCTGTGGGCTCCCTCACCGGGCAGGTCCTGGTGTCCACGGCGCAGATCCGCTTACTGTATCTGAACATTGTGACTTTGGTGTGCATGATCGTGGCTTTTCTAGCTCCGTGGTTTCTTCCAGTAGCCAGCAGGAGCTTATTTTTCCATCAGCTCCCCGGTCGTCCTGGCAAGGAGGCCAGGGTCGAGCAAGCCCCAGCAGTGCCTCTGGGAGAACTGTACAGAACCGAGCAGGAGGATCCTGAGTCGAAGGAGCCGCTGAATCCTAAGAGCTGTCCTCTGCCGGACGGGGTAAGAGCTGCCTTTCCTGTTAAGTCTTGTTTGGGCCCAGCTAATAAAATCAAAGCTAGTTCGTGGCCGTTCAGATCTGCCAACTCTTTGCCTCTTTGTTTTAATCTAAGATTTTTATTTCTGTAATCGGCAGGTGACCTTGAGTGCTTGAACTGGCCTACAGCATGGGTTCTGATTTTGAACTAGGCTCTATCGAGGTCTCTAAAAACAAATGAGATCTGTTTTTGATTAGCTAACTAAATTAACAGATCAATCTCATTGTAAGTATCCATTACTCAGTGGATCTAGTCCAGAGGTGCGTACAGTAGACTTGCAGTTCTGTTACTGCAGATTTTAAATACTTCAGCCTCCGTTTGTTGAAACAGAAAGGGATTTCTTGAAAGGGGTCTCTCAGTATGAAGCACAGCATGTTTCAGTAAGAGAATTCATCAGTGAGATCCCAAACAAATTAACATAAGGTACCATGTATAATCTGCGTATTCCGAGAAACAGATTGAGGTATTGAGTACAGCAATTTTCTTTTCCACGTGAGGAAGGCAACATTTGACGTGATTGAGGACCAATTGTTCCAGGGGGAGTGTAGTTTCTGTAGGCGAGGAAAGCAGAGTTGTTGTTACTTCATTTCTTACATGGGAATATGTTGATAGTAGCACATTTCTTCATGGTTTTCCTAAAAAATCGTTTTTTTTTGGTTTTTGAATGTTCTCTGTGCCAGTGTGTCTTCCTTTGGTGCCTTGTACAGCAGTGCAATCAGAGGCTCTTTACGTTTGTTTTTGATTGCTTTTGATGTCACCACACAATCGATTGAGACTGACTTTTGCTTATCAGCTTATTTATTCCTAGAGATACCATTATCATCATCATCATCCTTGCACGGCTGTGAGTCTTAGTCTGGTTTTAACTTTCTTCTCCTATTTAGAACAAGAATCGTTCTTGTGAGGAAGTGTGGCAGTTCAGCTAGAAATGCTTCTTTCTAGGCATTGACCTGTAGCTTGACCTCCTCTCCACCAGGTTTAAGATTTAAGATAGTCCAGATTACCTTGAATAACACGTTTTTCTGCATTGCAGCACATATATTGAATTCTGAGGGGTCTGACTCTGTTCTCTCTTTAAGTATTAAACGTGTCAAATTACATACATAATCCTTCCATTGTTAAAAGTGCTGCAGTGTTGCAGCAACATCGATACTGTACTTTCCCGGTAATAACTCATGACTGTTAACTTGCAGCCATCACTCTGCATCTCAGTCCTTGACTAGTCAGAACCCAGTGCTTTTCAGCGGACTGAGTTTTCTTGTGTTTTAACACAGGAAGCAGAGGCTAGCCGAGCTGGGGGCAAGAGTGTGTCCGAGGTACTGAGGACCGTGTGGCGGGACTTCCTGCAGTGCTATTCCTCGCAAACTCTGCTGTGCTGGTCTGTTTGGTGGGCGCTGTCCACCTGTGGCTACTACCAGGTGATCAACTATGCCCAGGCTCTGTGGGAGAGAGTCCTGCCCTCACAAGACTTTGAGATCTACAATGGCTATGTGGAAACTATATCAACCTTATTAGGTACAGTACAGATTACCAACATCAGAGTGCTAACCATAGAACTTGTACTGGTACCTTTAGGGACAGTACTATGAGTATAGATGGACGATGGGCAGAAAAATTGTACAAACAATAGAACTGGTACTGAGGATTAGCCTCGTTAAGGATACTACAGATGGACAACGAGCAGAATCAGAATATTAACACCAGACCTGGTATTAAGGGCTGACTCTGACTGGGCGGTGCACTCTTGTGAAACAGCTGAATCCTTAACGGGTTGTAAAATGTCCTGCCCCGGCCCGATCCCAGCCACCGTCTTAAGAGCTCAAAGTGCTTCCTGCTGCTCACTACCTGGCTGTTACTGTGGTCAGGCTGGCTTGTGTAGGGTAAGACTGGGGCACCTCTTGCAGAAGTAGACACAAGTTGCAACTGCTGTTCACACCCGTTTTCACAATTCTCTTAGTAACGGAAACGTTTATAGAATCCTTAAAAAGGTTGTGGGCAAAGATTGGCTTCTTTAACGTTTCCCTTACACCTTTCAATCCTGTGTTTTGGATGACTGTGCGGAAGCCGAGTCTCAAGACACCCTTCTTGTGAAAGATGGCCTTTTGGGAGGCATTACCAAGGCAACCTCTCGACTGAAGGCCGGTTCGCTGAAGGTCCCTGTGCTCGGAGCTGCTGGGCGTCGGAGTGCTAATCGGTGGTCTCTTGTCTCCCAGGTGCGGCGGCAGCCTTTGGGGTGGGCTATGTGAAAATCCCCTGGGCAGCGTGGGGAGAGCTGGCCCTCTGCAGCTTCTCAGTGGTCATTGCCGTGGCTGTGTACCTCATGGACACTGTCAGGAATGTGTGGGTGTGCTACACTTCCTACATTGTCTTCCGGGCTACATATATGCTGCTGATCACTATTGCCACGTGAGTATGTCTGTTGTCCACGCTCCTTTCTGATGTTGTGCACCATGTTACAGATGCGGTCTGGACAAGTGCAGAATTTAAGCCAAGGGTTGTTAAAATGGTGCAGTGCATTATTAAGCCTTCATCAGGAGTATCGCATGCTGTTTCAATTTTAAAATTACATTTCTGCTTCAGAATTCAATGCACTTGTTCAGGATCGCTGTACCACAGCTGTCAATAGAGAAGGCCTGAGAAGAGGGTGGACTTGATTGCACAGGGGTGTGGGGAATTTGGAAAACCTTGCTGTGTCCCTGAAAAGGATCCTTATGTTTGCACAACCACAGGGATTTGTGGATTTGTGAACTGCGAGCTCTTGTGTTAATCGAACAAGAGAAGCAAAAACCACTGCTTTTGAATTTGATTTTAGTTCAGGTAACAACTATGAAATGTCCAGTGTTTGTTGTTGGTTTTATACAGCTCATTAAACTCTCTGGGATGGAAACAAAATTGCAGACCCAGACACCCATAAATGTGTTTAATTACTTGACTGCAGTGCAGGAAAAATCCCCTGCTCATGTAAATAGCTCTCTTTTCCCATACAGGTATCAGATTGCAGTAAACCTCAGCATGGAGCGCTATGCCCTGGTGTTTGGGGTGAACACGTTCATTGCCCTTGCGTTGCAGACAGTGCTGACTGTCATCGTTGTGGACTCCAGTGGCCTGGGATTGGACATCTTTGCCCAGGTAACGCAAAAGCAAACCTTCGCTGAGCAAATCTTCCCGTGCAAAGTTAAAATGTTTTGCACGAAGAGGAGTCATGACACATTTTTGCAGCTACCGTACTATCGGAGCTTCTTCCTGTTTCTCCTTCTCCGGATCTCTAACGCTTATATGATACGATAATACTTTTGATTCTCAGAAATTTGTTTTGCACCTGAAAACACTTATAAAAACTACAAATAAACATTACACTAAAAATAAATATTACATAAACCACATCTACATTTACTCCCCAACACTGTCCCTGATCACCTAGAATTGCTCATTGCACCTGCATGTTGGTGTATCCTTGCAGCAGACTATGTGTTCAGCACAGCAATTAATCACCGTTTTACTTAGAATTAGTGGCATCAAGGTATTTCAACAAAAAAATATCCAAACCTGCTGAAAAGCCTAAAATGTTTTAAAACATGTAGAATTAGAATTCAGACCTAGCACAAATAACACACAAAAAAGACTATCACTAACATCTTTTTAACACTAACATATCTGATTTTTTTTGGGGGGTGTGGTGAGGGGTCACAGAATTTTCCCAAACATGTCATTGAGTCTTCTTGATGATATGACTTTGAAACTGTAGTTCTCTGTGGTTCTGTTTCGGTTTACACTCTTATCCTTCCTTTGTCCTTTCGTTTCCAGTTCCTGATCTACGCCAGCTACTTTGCAGTGATTGCTGTCATTTTCCTGCTAGCGGGAATTTACCGGAAGCTGGTGCGGTGCCGAAGGCGGCCTCAGTGTCAGGCAGAGAGTGCAGAGACTGAGTCAGACTGTGCCCGAGACACAGAGACTGGAGAAGACGTGATAAAGCATCTTTCTGTTCATGGTGTACAGAGCACAGAAACAGGATATGTCTCTGAGAAACACTAGTACCCTCTTTGTGACTTTGACTGCTAACGCATACAACACATGCAGGAAGAGTTATAGTTTCAAAATTGCCACATGCCTTTTTCACCGCAGGAAAAGATGCCTTTTTCTACATATGTGTAAATTATTTAAAGGTGTTGATTGTGGGATAGTGTGTCAGGATTTGGACCCTTAAGCCTAGATCAGGGTTTCTCAATCCTAGTCCTGGAGGTCCACATCCAAACTGCTGGTTTGTGTTCCAGTTTAGCTCAATTACAAATTCAGCCCGATTTAATGGTTGGATTAAATGTAACCGTTTGAGTAGAAAAATGAAAATGTACAAGCGTTCTAATCAAGCTTCTTGCTAGATGAATTAAGGCTTCAGTTAGGTCATACAGGTCAGATGGAATGAAAAGCATGAGTTGTTTGAACCTCCAGGACAAGCATTGGGAACCTCTGGCTTATATAACACCATACAATGTTGCACTATATGATATTGAGCCTAAAGACAAACTGGGAAGAATTTGATCTCTAGGACAGTGCCAGTTTCACTCTAAAAAAACTTCAGAACTGTCGGATGAGGGCAGACAATCATAAAGCACTAAGTAAGAGTATTATAACCCTTATGACCTTGTTTGATCATGGAAGAGACTTAATATATGGGAATCCGATAACTTGAAATGGGTTAAAGCACATTATGCTGTATGACGGGGCTGAAGGACTGTTAAAAGACATGCTACTGTACATAAGGTAAAACATACATAGTTGCATCACAGTTTTACTTGAGCAAAATGTACCAATGATGGGCCTGAGTTACAGTTTGTTTCTGTGCTTCCTGCCACAGTCTTTCTGGTGTTATGAATTTCAATGTGTAATACGGCCCAAAAGGCGAAGCCTGGGCTCTTCAGTGACTTGGAAGTACCAGTCCTGTGTTATAGTTCAGATGTCACTAGTTCCAGTCTGTCATGTAATTAGCTGACCGAGACCAGGTTTCGCCAGGCAGTAGCTGCAACTTGGCTGTGTAGCAGCAAGGCTGGCTGATCTAATCAGCCAAAGCACCTTCAGTCTGGGGAGCAACACCAAATCCTGGGATTGTCCAAGCAGGCCCTAATCCTCCAGCACTGTCAGCGGGAGCTGCAGGCTGTGGCACCTCTTCCATGGGGCACTGCAGAACTCATAGCCTGTGGTGTCACCTGGGTGTCAGGGGAGCCCAGGCCTCAGTTTTCCCAGGCAGTACAGGGGTTACAGCAGCAATTCAAGCTGATAAACAATGGGCAGTCTCAAACTAGGAGGTTATAAAAATTGAAAAGTACATGATGAATCCAGATTTTTAAAAATCTGCGTGATAGACTCATGGCAGTTTTTTATTTGGTAATGGATTATGTTTGTTTTGTTCTGGTGAAATCAGAATACAGTACTTGTATCTCATGCTTATATTGGTGCAAATCCAAACCTGGTTCCTGGTTTTTATGTACATAAGGCAACTGAATTATGATGTTCAGACACTGAACTGCTGTCTCGTGTGTTATAAAATCATTTCTATTTTTGTAAATTGCATTGAAGTGTGAATAAAATATTTTTTGGGATCTCATAATATTTAAAAATATTTGGAGTTGGTGTTGTAAGTTTATTTCCAGTCATTCCAGTTTTGATCCCCTTACAAAAACTGATATTTGAATAGGTTGTCACCAAGTGTTACCTATAAGTGTTACCATTACCTATAAATAAGTGAAGAGACTGCTGTTATAATCTGCAGCTGAATCCCGATTTCTATTAAATTAATAGACAATTTTTTAGCTTTGCCCTGTGCATCACTCAACTTTTCGGATTATTTTTGGGCTTCCTTCATCTTTATTTCTTGATCCAGGGGTCACCAGTCCAGGAGGTTTTTATGGGTAGCTACATCAGAGATCCTCTGCCTGAAGACCCTCTGATCCACTCCATTACACAACGCCAGTACAACCACTTCCTTAATTGATGAAACTGGATCACTACAGCAGTTCCATCAAAGCACGGCAATGGTGCGGAGTGGAAGAGCTGGTAGAGGAGCTGCCCTGCTCTAAATCAAAATCTGAATTTCTAAAAAAATCTAAAACAGATGAGCTATCAATTAAACAAGGGAAATAGCAGTCCTGCAGCCTTACATTACCAGATTTCCCTCTTCCAAATAACTTTCAAGTGTTTCTGCTGTTTTAAAAGCTGGTGATTTAAAGACTAGCAGGAATGTCTTACATTTTTACATAAAAAATCTCACCTTCCTTGCACAAACAGGCAAAAAAAAAAACAAACAGGCTGTTTGTTTAGCTAATGCATTACTAAATTCCACAACTCGAGTATGTCACAGACAGAATATGCTACACAGGTTTATAGCAGGGAGAAACCAAAATAGTCAAGGGTTTTGATGAAAACTCAAAATTAATCATGCTGTACAAAAAAAGCACATTTCAGAATTTTCCAAAAGCAAGGCACGTTGGTCTTAGGGGCCTTTAATGTAAAATGAACAAGCAGATTTGATCAAAAATGTTCAACACAATTTTAAAATTAACACTAGAAGCTGAGGTAGGTGGCAATGGAGGTGTCCAAGACTCTAGATAAAGTGTGTACCATCAGGCACTACAAACATTTCCAGGTTCAAAGCAGTGGTGATATTTGCAGAAACAGTCTGTAGGGATCCAGAGTCTGTGATCCAGAGTTTACTTTGGCAAATGATTAAATTTACCAATCAATCAACAGTCCAGAAATACACTAGGATATCATAGGATCAGATCAGAGGAGAGAAAAATGGAAAAAAGGCCAGACCATAAGAAAGAAGAGAGCAGAAGTGGTAACTTGAAAAGAATTATCTTGCACCAGGATAGAGCAAGTACTTTATGGTCGTTTGAAAAATAAGATAGTGGTAAGGTAAGTATCGTGGCAGTCTAAATACTTGAAATG